GTCCTCGACGTCTTCACAGGCCCAGGAACGGCATTGGCCTGGACTCGTTCCCATCACGCGAGCATAGAGATTCGACGAGCTTGCAAGGCTTCTCGCGGATGGGATGGCGAGATTCTGCTGGCCAGGAGCAGCAGCCACAGCCAAATGCCGAGGCCCACACCCTTGCTAACCTGACGAATGGCAACGGTTCCGCCAGAGACGAGGAGGAGCGAAAGAGAGACAGTGATGGACTTACCACGTCGCTCGGTGGCTTGTCACTTTCTGGCCCGCCTTCCTTGAGTCCCATCGCTACTGGACCTGGGGCAATCATGATGCAGAGAGGAGCACGAGAGAGAGCCGAGGAAGAAGAATGGGAGAGGAGAAGGAAGGAGAAGGAGATGAACTTGATGCGTCTTCGCGCGAGGGATTCTGCCACTTTTGATGCGTTCCATGGTGTTCCGTCTGTCAATGGCGCCCCGGCGGCTGCTACCCCCACATCTTCTTCGACTTCCGGCGCTCCGGCCTCTATTCCGATCTCCAGGCAGAGCTCGAACGCTAGTGCTAACCCGCCACCGAGCAGTGCGAGTAATGCGAGCACGAACAGTGGCACGGGAGGTCTCTTGACGCCCTCGTCGACGGCTCCGACCACTGCCCCGGCGGAGAGCGTGGCCGGCTCCAGCCCCATGATCTCCTCTGCCGAGGCCCAACCACAGCAGCAGGAGGTAGTTGGACCGTGGGACCGTGTTAATACTTCTCTTCCTGTCGGATCAGGATCCCAGCGCTCAAACTCCCCACCAGCCGCAATTCAGGAGGCATCTCAACGCAAAGCTGAGAGCGAGTCGAGTCAGACGAGCGCCATCGGCAATGGGAGCGCCAGCGGAAACGTCAACCCCCTCGGCCCTATCGGTGCTGGTAGCGGCGGTAGCTCGAATGCTGCGAACAGCGAGATTAGTGCAACGGTTCGCACGTCCTCTGGCGAACTGGTCCTGAACAACCTCAGCAGCGTGAACAGCACGCACCATCTGCACCATCACCTCCAGCAGCTTCAGCAGCAGCAGGCGCACCCGCAGCAACCGTCGCTTGCTGGCACAATTGGGACATCGTTCGCTGCTGGCGCTGGTGCCAGCGGTGTGATTGCGAACGCTGGAGGCCCTGGCTCGGCGAGTAGTGGAAGCAACGGCAATGGCAACACCTCGCCGACGCTACCGTCGCCTGCGTCTGGGGGCAGCTCTGGGTCAGTCAGCACGACAAGCACGACAGGTATGAGGGGGACAGTCGACCAGAATCCACCTGTAAGTATTAGCCTTCGTATTTGTTTTGATGCCTTTTTTGTTCCTGCTCCTTTTTGTATGCACATATCGTACTTTTTGTGCGAACGGAGCCAGTGTCATGCGATGATAGGTGTGCGACCTGTCTCATGAGCGCACAGCTATTGTTTCTGATGTATGGATATTACTCTTCTTCGTGCTCGGCGCCGATGATGTGCAGGCTATTTTGATTTGGAGCAGCTGGGCTAACTCTATTCTTTTTTGTTACAGATCAACACTCTTTATGTCGGGAATTTGCCGACGTCGCCGCCTCCGATCGGATACCCGCACGACTACCTCGAGGAGACGCTGCGAGAGGTCTTCTCAGTTCGCCCAGGCTACCGCAAGCTATGTTTCAGGCAGAAGGCTGCAGGGCCGATGTGTTTCGTCGAGGTGAGTTTGTTTTTTTCTGATGCTGACTCACTTCTTTGCTAACTCCAATTTCTGTGCTTTCCTAGTTTGAGGACGTGCACTATGCCTCGAGAGCCATGACAGAGATGTCAGGCAACACACTGCGCGGAGCAGTAAAGAACGGGATCAGGCTGTCATACAGCAAGAACCCGCTTGGCGTG